AATGACAGCCGCAGATACGCCGCTATTAGTCATGCGGAATTCGCGCCCGGTTGTCGAGACCTCCAGTCGCGAGGCGTGAATGATCGATTATCGATAACACCCCGCCTGAAGCTATGGTAAAGAATCGATTATTAAAATGTCCGTTGTGAACACCCAGTACATCGATCCTTTTTCATACGTTTAACCGGCAGATCAATCGATACATCGCCAAGCACGCCACGCCACTGGAAACCGCGTGTCTTTCCCGCTCGGATTAATTGGGATCGGGTGATGATCCCTAAGTTTGGCAATCCTGGTTCCAGGGGCTTGTTTTATGCCGTGTCCGTAAAAGTCGTCGAGCTTTCGGGGGCGAATGTTGGTGGCGAGGTTGCTGCGCCGATCGGTCATTACATAGACGTATTCATATCGAAAGGAGATTTATCCATTTTGATGGAAGTCCTGAGACCCGTACGAATACATGCATAACAGGGCTCATAATATGGTTCCTTTTGCTTGAAATGCGTTCACATGGTATTCTGCCATCCTAAGGGAAACCCCGCATGAACATTCGATGGTTTTCAAATTTCCGCGGATAAAACATTAATTATTGAGGACAGTAACGAGTAGTTGTCTTGACAATTTTCAGATCTTTAAGATCATGTTGCAAACACAATTTTTTGAGAAGTTTACAGAAAAATATCGATAAGTTTCCTGAGGAATCTGGGTTTTGTTAGAGGAAATTTGGCAGCGTCGGAAGACTCCTGCGGCGTTCTTCCGTCACTGGTTGTACAAAATTTGGAGCGGACGAAAATAGTTCGGCAACGACAAGTACTCGTGTGTCACAGGGGTTAAAATGGAGGGAGTCTGGAATAATTCCGTGAGCGGAGCAATTATTATGATCGATAATTTCGATGCTCTGTCCCTCGACCGGTGTGAAAATCGTTTCTGGTATTTTGTGGATAAGTAGGGATAATGAAAATAGCAAATATTAATTGCAGACGAATTGGATTACTTTTTGCAGTAAGGGACCACTATTTCTGGCTCATCAATAAAAGCAAATATGTACACACGGAAACTAATAGAGCAAACGTTACTTCTAATATTGGCTGAAATTAGTAGTTCTGTAGCGACATATATCGGCCTTAGCGCCGGACTTTCCTCGAAATTTCTGTGCCAGTGAGGCAATGCACTTTTAATGCTCTCTACACTGAAAAAAAAGTAGTTAGCGTTGAGAACTAATTTGGTAAGTTCTCGCCAAGTAGAATCAAAATTAGGCTTCAGAACTAATTTATTGTACTGAAGCACCAATCAATTCGCTTCATACGCTGACTTGACTTTACTATAGCGCGAACCAGAATTGGAAAACAGCACTAGCTGTAAAATTAGCGCTGTGGTAAGACAAATTCACCTTCGGGTCAAACTAATTCAGCCTCAACACTAACTGCCACATTGTCCGTTACATTTATTTAGTTTCGAAAAAGTGGCGTCGGTACAACAGCCTCAATCGCGTCAGCTCGTGAAAATCAATTAAAATGTGAAATTTCGGGCTCGTTTGACAATGTAAATACTCCCGGTATGATTTATAGTGTCCTCTCTTTCTTGAAAACGTTCGAAAGCAACATAAATAAACCTGTTAAGGTTAGAAATCGTCTGTTCGATTCAAAACGTAAACAAGCATGATGTTCGTTGGAGTCGTCAATCTTCTGTATTAAATTGCGATTAAAGCGTTCCGCGTTCAGTTTATATTTTACGAAAATCTGTGAACTTACTGCTTACTTCTATAGTTCGTGTTCTCCCGTAATTTCAAAAGAATATCTCAAGTGTTCGGACGAAATATGTTTATTCAGTGTGAACATTCGCTACCGTTTCATGTGTGAGTGTGTGTCTCTCTGAAGGATAATTCTGTCTACTTGCACATACCTATGGGATATTCCTTTCCTCTGTCGTTCAATTGATTTTTACCTCTCATCTTTTAAGAAATCTTCTTTTCCTGAAGGTATTGTCCAGTTATCATTCGCTAAGCCGTTTTCTCCTCTCTCAGTTTTGAGGTTAGGTTGACCCAACCCTACCGAATGCGAATTAGAGTAGCGGAATTAGTGTCCAGCACTAATAGTGGTTAGTGTACAGAAACCAAAAATCATGTGTGTCCAAATCACACAATTTGAGTTAGTGTGTAGAAACCATTTTTAGTCATCTGACGCTAACTCATTTTTTTCAGTGTACTTAAGACTATCGATACACATGTAAATCAAGGGAAGAAAATTAGTTGAATTTTATGTAGCACGTTTTAAATGGCAATAATCTATTCAAATGCCGTAAAAACTCCATCTTCGTAAGATATTCTTTTTATTTTTTGCCTTGGGATGGGGCTTTGGCCTTCGTGCATCGGCACAAATAACCAAGCAAGATGAGAACTACTCAATACACAGTGCGGTCGGCATGGCACGCGTATTAGCGCCTACAAGACTGTGGGAATATTCCACGCATTGCACCAAACACAGTGCGGTCGGCTCGGTCGGAGTCGAATGCATATTAGCGCCTCCAAGATCGTGTGAATACTTCACGCATTGCGCCAAGTGCAGTACGGTCGGCTCGGTCGGCTCAAAACGCACATTAGCGCCTACAAGACTGTAGGAACACTTCACGCATTGCGCAAAACACAATGCAGTCGGCGTGCTACGCACATCGATGGCTAACAAGAAATACCGTCTACCTGCAAACGGACGATTTTGTATAACGAAGAGAAAACTTCGCCATTTTTGTAATTTTAAGGTTAGGATTGCAATTTTTTCATACTTACAGCGTCATTGCAGCGATATCCTAAAGGATTGTAAAAAAACTGAAATAATCGGCTTGTGTATTTTATACTGTAGAATGCGCCAAGGTGCTAGCTCATTTTTGCCAAAATTGTCAGATTGGCGGTATTATTCGTTAGCCATTGGTACTAGCACCTACCAGAAACTAGAAATTAAAATTTAATATTTTAAAACTAGATTGGAAGCTAGTACTCAGCAATAGATGTAGAACGTCAACTAAGCAGATTTAGGGAGGCGTAGAAATACAAGAACAGGGTGAAAACTGTTAACCCGCGGGTGAGAAATAAACCAGTCTAGGATTTTCAGCATGAAGTGTCTGAAAAGAAAAGACATAATGTGCACAGTTTTATCCCGGGTCACGGTTCGGTTTGATCTTTTCGCCCCATAAAAGTTCAGGCTCTTTCGCGTTCGGCGTGTTTCGCGAAACCATGAGCTTTTATTGCAGCGACGCTCATTACTGTTGACGATATCAGGAAGCTGAGCGCGGCTGATTCGCCCGATAAATTTGTAAAAAAATTCAAATCAGGTGGAAGTCGATGGGAAATTCGTCACATTTATATTCGATGCAGGTCTCGATGACGCAAGCAACCCTTTCCTGCCGTGCTGAGGAAAAACGCCTTACACACATTCAACGGATGCCAGATTTCTCGTGATAAAATCTTTATTTTCGAGGAAATTTAAAAGTATCTCTCCTTGAAATTTCCAGATACTTCAGACTAAATTGCGAATAAAATCCTCAGAAAAATTAGAAGACAAATATTAACAATCAACCCTGAAAATCCGTGTTTTATAAAAAGCAGTTTTGCAACGCTTAGGGCTCATACGACGTTTTTCCTTAGCACGGCAGAGTTTTCCTAAGATGTCCCCCGCCCTCGGCAGAGACAAGAGGAACTTTGTAATTCGTTGATCCTCTGACGTAAGGGCGTATCTCGATTTCCGCATAAGCCCAAGAAAGCATGGATTCATATGTAAAGCAGGGCTCATGTGGACCTTCGTAATTGTACGGCTCGAGAGTAAGAGGCGGGAGAGTAACATGTATGTGTATTGCGAGGATGCCTACGTTGAAAGTGATGAGGTTATAAAAGCTGCGATGCATGATCTCAACCTATAAAAATGCAACACACAAATAAATCTAATTCCGTTCTCTTTGAGGCTATAACCACCCTTGTTTTCAGCATGCAAAGCCTCGGCTCTCTCACGTAAATATAAGCTCGGCGCTGGAGATGGGACTTGCTCTCTGCCGTGCTACAGAAGAACGCCGTATGAACATTCAAGAGTTGCCAAATTCCCTTCGATAAAATGTTTATTTTTGAAGAAAGTTATGGATATTTTTCCTAAAAGTTTACTAAAAATTTAGGTGAAATTGCGAACAAAATTATCTGAAACATTGGAGGAAAATGTTCACATATTTTCCCGAAAATTCGTGATTTATTAAGGGAAATTTGGCGACGCCTGAAGGCTCATACGGCGTTTGTCCTCAGCACGGGAGCTCTTCTCTGGATCCTTGACGCGGCGCGGCTCGGCGCGGGGCACGTTTTTGGTGCTTCCATAAGAAATATTTTTACGGGGCGGCGGCTTCCCAGTTCCCAGTGAAAAGGAGTGATAATTCTCCGCGCGCCACCCCATCCCTCACCGGACTAGTGCCGCCCCCGCCCTCCGAGCGGCCGAATCCCGTAATTCAATGTCCTTCATTTATTCAGCCGGTAAATTCTTATTATACCAACCGAGTTGCGAGTTCTTAGCACCGCACTAAAAATAACATCTTCCCCTCGCACTATAAAGTAGTCTGCATTCTTCTTGTTTTCATGGTGTCTCTCAAAAAATGCCCATAATCTTCGCTCCGGTATTTTTTCACGCCCCTTCCCTTCCGTGGCTACATTTAAATCTTTTTTCCTGTGAGATGGGGTTAGACGCCTTCGAGAAAATCTAAAATAGGCTTCCATCCGTATGTGGTAAAATGTTTGAGATGCGTGAGGATTTTAACGCGTTTTATACATTTTTCTTAATTATAATGAGAAGATAGCGTAGGAAGATAGGAACCGTCACCAAAGAGAAACATAAAATGATTTTGTCACTTCGTGACTATGATTGAACAGTTGTAGTCTTCCGCGTTCTTACACACAAACACGAATCATCATAAATTCCGCCAATTTATTCAGATTAGCTCGTTTATGAGTGAGATGTAATAGTTGAAATTGAACCAACCTGAAATTCCTTGGTAATTCCACCAGCCGTCCCAACTTTTTTTAGGTTGACCGTACAGCACTGAAAAAAACAGAGAACAAACTATTACTGATTAATCGGAGGAAATTCTGCATGAAAAAAAGAAAGGTGAAAACACTACATGTAATAAAAATGTATTTTCTCTCAATTTTATTTAATCCTCGTCTAGCTTTTTTTCCACTATGGTGAGGAAATGAAGTTCCTTAGTTCAGACGGCGTTTGGCAATTTCAAAAAAAAAAAAAAAAAAAAAAAAAAAAAAAAAAAAAAAAAAAAAAAAAAAAAAAAAAAATACTTCTCAACTCCTATTGCCTTGGCTGTACTTTCAGTATCGCAGCAAAGCATTTCGAGTAAGAGCGAAGTTGAAGGGACCCAATTGGAGAATTAGTTTGAAATGCAAAACACCTCATTGATAAGTGAAGAGTGGAGGATGAAGAGACGACCCGACGGAGATGATGGAAATCGATATATTTCACCGGCTGCAATCAATTTATGGTAAAAAAATCAAGAGTAGTTTTAGACGGATTATAGGGAGTCGAGGAGGGGGGGGACCGGGGGCCAGATTGAGCTTGGTTGGGGGACTGGGGGTTGTCGTTGAGGGTTGAAGGTGGGGTGTCAAGGTTCACATAAAAAGCGACAGCCGTGAAATGAGAAGAGTTTGTTTGTGGCAGCATGACGGCGGAAGTCGTGTCCTTTTGGGAGTTGCTAACTCCACTCGCCCCCGCAACACTCCTCACCTTCGCTGCCCCCCCTTCCCCCTCCTCGCTTGATCACCCCCTCGGAGACCCTTCTCGGTCGCACGTTTTACAATCAAGCCAACCGACAAAAAGTTTCCAAAGTGGTTAACTCTTTACTTTCTATATCTATAGACGCCCCGTCCTTTTTTTTCGCTAACGGGGAGGGAAACTTTTTTCTTCTCCTTTTTATTAACTTTTTTCCAATTTGATTTTCTTATTACTTCAAGATGTATGGAATTGATTTAGGAACGTAAGGCGCTCTGGATCCGTGGCCAAAAGTACATCTGTTCCACAATTGGACGACAATTTGCGCCGCGCCGCGCCGCGCTGTGCAAGTCGCTTTTCAACAATGGACCCGACGCCAACGATTTCCACAACAGAGAAACGGGACGCTGATATTATTCTTCAGGACTGGACGCGGAGAGATTTTTTTAGCGCTCATGTAAGGGAAAGGTTAAGGCTCAATTTCTTCATTTCGGCTGCGCCTTGCTTCTACTCAACCGATATATACTCAGTTCTCGGTTACGTGGAGAATAGTTTTGATAAAAATGCAAATTCGTGAAGCAACACCTCAAGCTCGATAGTTACAGAAAACGAAGAAAAGTTGTGGGCAAATAGTCGTGATTTTTCAGCCCGCTAGCACTAATCGATGTTGAAGAAGAGTAGCATTACTTTGAGGCATGGAAAAATACGAAAAATAGGGGAAAATTGGCCATACAACCAGATATGTTTAATTTTGGAGGAAAGGTGGACAGAAATTCTAAAAAAAAATTCTAGAACCGTGTTTATGAGATGAGACACGAGTTTGAACGAGAAATATAATAAGATGACCAAAAACACTCTGGGCCTAAAGTTTTGGTTCATACTTACCCGTAATACTCAGACTTACTTGAAGAGTATATTTTACAGCGGGACCTACCTCTTCGGAGCACCGGGGATTTTCACGTGCCTGAAAAAACTAAGGATACTTCACGCATAATCGCAAGGTAATTATACGTGTATAATGACAAAAAATTGATGCACCTAAGACTACTACCTGAACAGGCATAGCTGTATTATGCAATTCAAACTCAGCGATTCCTTGTTTGAAACAAGGACTTGACTGAGAATTATTTGGTACCAGATGAAGGTTTTGGAAACTTTATGGCCCAAATCCGTCCAGTTAACTAAGTACGTTTATTTGAAACGGTGCCTTAAAATAGGTACGTAAAGGTTTTTTCCTGATGTTAATGATTCCAATTGTCTCAAAAAAAAAAAAAAAAAAAAAATTACCGGCCGACATCAACGACATTTACTTTCGTTTGAATTATTTCTCACTAGCCGGCCTGCCGTTTCGGCCAGGAAGGACCGATAACTTTTAGACGATGGCCAAGCGGTCTCTAGAGAGTATTGATCAGTTTAGTTTTTGTTTGCAAGCTCATACAAGTGGGCAATCGAGTCCAACAGTGCTATTTAAATGTCTGTTCTGCCGCTTTTTAGTTCACTCACCAGTTCAAAACAACATCAATCCGTACTTTTTCCCCCTTTTCGCTCGAATGAATGTAAGAGATTTTCATTCGGATGGAAATTTAATTTGCAATGCAATATTGAGGAAAACGGTAATTATCACTCGCATATTTCAAACTCCATGTCTGCAACTACGAAATATAGCGATCATAGATTCAAACGTAGAATGTATAAGCCTTTCAAACATAAAGACCAACAAAAAAATACAACTTCAAGAATCTAGATTTTTCAAAACAGTTTGTAACTGACGGGATACAAGCGATGGATATAAAAAAGTGAAAGAGCACTGGTTTCCTCTTAAGTTCAGAGCAAGCAAAGAGTGCTGAAGAGTGTTGGAAATGTGGAACCTGAAACGGTGCCCGCATGTCCGTCACGACAGAACCGTGAGCTCAAACTGTAAAGCGCCTTCAATTATTTGCGTATGCGACACAGACATCCCTCGAGTACGAATAGTTGTATTACGTCTTAACTTCTAAACGGAGCATTCTGGCATACTTTGACCAAAATACTGACTGAAAATGCTTTTGTTGTTCTTTCTTGTTGATAGGCTCCAGTTTGTCGGAGAGTGAGTAAGAGGAAGTGACCACGGTAGATGAAGATGGAAAGCGCAGATAGAGGACTCATACATGAAGTTCATCTAAACTGAGGGAGCTATATAGTTCGACGAATTATGATAAGAGAAAAGATAAAATCTCATATAAGTAAGATTAAAGTTCCCTCGTCCATGAGATTCGTCCAACCACTAACTGTTCTTCACCGTCATTGATACAAATGTGCCCTGCTACGATTTGCTAGATCCACCTGGATTTAGCGGTCAGTCCAGCCTTAGATCACTTTTGACAATATTTCTCGTGAGAGCTAGAAAAGCTTACACTTCAAGGATCACATAATATTCCGCAAAGAAATAAAAGAAAGAAAAAAGAAAAAATTATAGGAGATTCAGTTTTTGAGAGGGCGAAATTTATTTGTTTCGCCATTTTGACGCATGAAGCCTAAAAAAACCTAAATAAACGCTCGAATGGCGATTTCACTCGGTTGATTTTTTTTTTTCTTCTGGAAAAATGCAAGAACATTAATCAAGGATTTGGGACTTATGTATGGAGGTTGACCATTTCTTTTCATCATTTAGTGATTAAAGAAAATGAATGATCAACGCGAAATACGTGCACAGGTTCAGTGGTCTTTTTTGTAGAATTTAATAAAAACTCCTGGCATTAAATAAATTAAGCTAACTAATGGTCGTGCCCGTTGACGAATGAGCAATTTAAGTTGATTAAGGGCGGGACTTTCTATCCCACGCACATTAGAACAGGAAGGATCATCGCTGTTTCTTAGACCACGGAGGGCCAAAAATATGAATTTAAGCATTCGGAAAGTGTTTGTACACTTATAACACGAAATTCGAAATTTTTATACTCGTTTTGGCAAAATGACTGTGCATCAAATATAATCAAAATTTTTCCAGATTGAGGGAAATACATTTAGCCAATTCAATTAGGGGTCGAATTTAAGTATTTTTCGATTATTTTTCCTCATCGAATTATTAAACATTTTTAGTAATTATTTTTAAAACAATTGCTTTCATTGAAAAGAGAGCTCCGTTTTATGTAGTTTTTATATACGTGCATGGAAATCTCCAGTAATTTTTTAATTATAACAGAGATACATAAAAGTAGCATAAGAGGTATGACGTAAAAACACAAATATTTGAGATTGAAGGCAGTTATCAAATCTTTAACAGATGTAAACTTCTGCGGATGATTCATGATGAGGAATGTTTCATTATGAAAGCAAGCGTTTTGTCTGTTTTTAATGTACAACCCAAAATTCGAGGTTTGTGAGCTTTTTTCTGATATTAGTGGGACGATTACTTGCGTGGTCAAGAAAAGAACCGGACAATCTCCTGTATGAAAAATCAATGAGGAAGTAAAACTGAGACAAGAGAAGTAAAGTCGGACAGAGAGAGGAAATGGAACGTGGGGAGCCAAGAATGATGAAAAAAATATGATATTAAATGGAAAATTCGTGTCAGACCGAATTTTGATTAGTTATTCAGTAGCTCTATTTCCTTTCATTTGAAGTTTCATCCGTCGGGCGTTTCGGTTCTATGCCAAAAAAATACTTCTGAAGGTAGATCAATAAATCCGTCTTTCCTCCGTGTGTACACACGGGGTGATCCATTGACTACCCACGTCAATCTTTTTTCGCAGATTAAATTTGAATGCGGCGACTGATGAGTATAGGAGGAGGCAGAATCTGATCTCAAGGAATGTGGTTTTCATTGTCCCAAAGTTTTCTCGGTCCTTCTGAGAATAGAAGGAGGAATTTGACCATTCTTGTAAATGGACCGAAATGAGGCTATCGCACTGATGTATTGAGGAAATATTCATCGTGGAATATGTGCATCAATTTCATGCCGTTCTAGCGAGACAAAAAGAAGAAAAAACATCCGCATCGAGCTAAATTCAAACCGTCTTAATTTTAGATAATTAGAAAAGAAGCCACGTATATTTAATTTTAGTAAGATGAGGGATACTGCGTCCAAGGACCAGACTTTCATCATTGACTTTCAAACGTAGAAAGTAAGATTGACTTAGAAGAAGAAGACTACAAGAGACAGACTACAGAAGATATTTTGCAAAAAGGAACTTCCATTTCAGGCCTATTTCAAAAACAAAATGTGTACCATTAGTTTCATTATGTAGACACAAACACCAAATCTCCCAAAGCACATTCGACGGTGAAACTACCAAACCACGTATCTCGGTTTGCGACGTCGCAGACTTCCTGTCATACTTTAT